GGCCAGTAGGGAGTCAGAGGTGGGGGCCAGTGGGGAGTAGGGGGCCAGGGGTGGCGGCCAGAGGGGGAGAGGATGGACAAATGGCAGAGGGCATGAGGGGCTTGTGGCCCAGGCGGGCAGGTGGCCTTGCGCCTGAGGTGTGTCGGCCGACTGCTGCCGCGCCTCAGCGCAGTGCCTGCGGCGGGGGGCATCCCTGGTTCCCCTTTTTTGCGCTGCCGGCTGAATTTACCGCCCCTCTACCATTCCATCAGGCAACGAGATTGAGTGCGAGCAGGTGGTTTGGCGCCACGCAGAGCCGGGCAAGCCGGTGCCCTGGAGCAGGTGGGTGCGCCCGCCCTCGCCAGGGCTAAAGCTTTTCTGCTTTGATCGCCGCCCAGCCGACAGGCGCCGCTCCCCAAACGGCCCATCCGGAGCGGCGCACCCCGCTCAGCGCTGCACGCGTGCTGGACGGGGCTTGTCGTCCGATCGAGCGCCTAGGCACACCCCAACATCATAAACGGATTGCCTAATCGCACAGCACCGCGCGTGTTGTGCGCCGCCAAACGATGCCAGGTATGTTTGGCGGCGCGGCAGTGTGCCGCTGTGGTGGACGGTCACCATCCGCAACGGCGGCATGGGGGAGGCGGAGATACGCATCCGAAACACAAACACGTTCAGGTGCGCGCCACGCGGCCGCGGGCGGCGAGCCGGCGCTGCACGAGCATGCGCGCGCCCCGATGACGTCAGCGGTGTGATTGGTTGCGTGTGCGTTGAGACCTCGCTGCCGGGGCGATGCGGGGCGCCTGCAAGAATCAAATCCACGGCGCGAATGGGGTTGTGTGGGAGCGGTTTTGCTGGCTTTCCAACGCGGCCCGACAGCAAATGATGCGTACGTGGGAGCCGGCGCGCCTGTACCTCACGTGCTGTCCCGCCGCTGCGTACCGCGCCGCGCCCGCAGGGGCAGCCGGCGGTACGTGCGGCGCCTGCAGAAGCGGTACGTCCCAAACCCCCACCTGGATCCAGACCCAGCAGATGTGCCCGCGGAAGCCGCGCCGCGGCCCGACCCCTCCCTGCAGGTGCGCCGCCGCTGCCGTCGCTGCTGCGCCGCCCCATCCCCCCAGGACCCTCC